ATAACGTTCCACCCAAGAACTACGAGTATTTGAACATACAAAGCGCGCCTCCTTCTTCCAGTATTAAATGTCAGGCTTGAATTCGCAGTGCACACGTCCTTGAAGCAGAATATTTTTATTGATTTAGGCGATGTCAAGGTGCCTGTTTTCTTATGCTATTTCCATTTCGTCATTCACCACGAACACCGGCTTCCAAGACGCGTGCTGCTTTTGGTGGAAGTGATTGAGGTTCACCACGATGGTAGTGAAAGACATCTTGGCAGTCAACAATATCCTTGTACCAAGCATTTAGTTTCTCCCCAACCAGTTTATGTTCCCCTCCAAAATATGAGTTTTTCCACCTTAGTTTCACTAACTACAAGCGCTTTTTTGGTCCGATTAAAAGAGATACTGGTGGCAATCAATTGCCACGGGAAATAAAACTTGAGTGTGTGTATACAGCTGGCTCCAAAAAGGACATTGCCCGCGCGATTTCCCTTTTCATTTGGTTGAAGTGACACGAACCACCACGTGACAGGAGGTTCAAAGTAATCACTAATGCTACTTCATAGATTGATTGTACTTTTGAGTCTCGTTAAATAGAGTGAGGTGAATGATGCTTAGAAATACCTTCATCTTTATTAAACTCAACAGTGACGATCCCGACTCATAAAAACTCTGCCCCACATAATAAAAATCCTACTTCCAAACCTAAAAACAACAGTCAATCAACACAAACAACTTTAAAGTGTGAACTCAAATGAATAATTAATAAGATTGTACTTCTTTTGAAAAATGACAAGGAAATGAAGATGATTTATGTTGTGCTCATTTGGATTTAACTTCAGTTGTTTGCTATCATTTTACCGTCTGGAAATTCTTTTCAGGAGTGCATTTCACAGCAAAAGGGTCCATGATTGTAGACTCATGATGAAAATGGATATATGGTTTCGATCGACTTCAGAATATTTGTCACGGAATAGTTTCTCACTGATGATGATTTCGGGGTGGCACAACGGGAAAGTACGATTCATTAATATTGAACACGTGATGGTCTATCAAAGGGACGAATTACTTACTTGAAGGGATCTGGAACTTAAAATACACAGTCTCTCAAATTTGTCTTATACTTCCAGAAGAATAGAATCTCCTCTTGCCAATTAACGAACAAAGGAAATGGAGTTTGGAAACCACTTCAGACGGAAATCCGAGGACACAGTACAAACGAAAGGAGAAAATCCAAGAAAGGAAATTTAACCTGTAGACAAATGAGTCATCGCGGCCTCTGACCAAGCCACCTGTATGCAGTTGGAATCAACTTCACTGCCTCTCTGTGTAATGGATCAACTGCCGAAAACTGTAAGCACCAAAGGTGACCCCCCCTTTCGTGGCTTCCTCATTAGACTAGAAGTTGCTTTACCCGAGGGGCATTAAGTTAAACTTGTAAAAAGCAGCAGTAAGTTCGACGGCAGCGCAAGCAGCAGCGATGTGTCAGGACGCACCCAGGCATGGAAAAAGTACATGTGCAAAGGGTGACGCATCCCCAAGGTCATCATCGGCACGACACGTCCATAAAGCAGGTGCGTTGGCGGAGCTCACCAAGCATGGCTTAGCAACATACGACCAGCGTATTGGGCCTGAGAGTGTTCACGACAGGAACACCGCCATTGGCTGTACTGAGCGAACAAGTGAACGACCATATTTGGCCATTTAGTCATCCTATATATTACGCAGACGCTCTGTATGTTTTGTTCTGGCAATACAGCCGTGTCCCCAGTTCTCTGTCTCCTCCCTATCGCGTAGTCTGGCAGGCTCAGTGCAGACGTAACCCATAGACGGCCACGCACGATACAACACAATGCAAACCGAAAATCACATAGAGAGGACAGCAGATAAATACACAACCTCCTGTTTGTGTCAGGTGATTGATTTTGGTTCATTTTGGCACTTCTAGTGAAAAGAACTACGTATCCTTTCATGACATGATTGAAAGGATCGGAATCTCGTTAAGGCGAACCGTTATCTAAGTTAAACAACCTGACTACTTGTGAATGTAAAACTATGAACCCAACTAGTCATCCATTTTGACACACACAGACTGGGGATTTAATCACATGCAGTCAGATCCTGAAAACCTCACTCATACGAAGCTTTTTGCCTACATTAAGATTGTTTAGACGAGTATAGAGGGAACTGATCACAGAACTATTTGCCTACCGGTTGTAAGATGCTGACAGGTAAACCATGCGTCTACTAACTGGTCTTTATTAAACATCGGTTTTTCACAGAGGAAACTAATCACAAGGTTACTGAAAACTCTTCGACAGCCCACGACCGGTTTTGCCCTTCTTAGGGCTCATCAGGTATGCACGCCGGGTGGGTTTCCGTCAACCTTATGATCTACATCGGTTTTGTTGTCACTAGCCGTTTACTCAGACAATATATTCACTCGTGGATAGCCCCGGCTGTTTACCTGAACGAGGCATCGAGTGTTCTGAATAAACTATGGGCTTCGGATGCCGCCTACTTGGTGAGCCCAAATAGGTGGTACAGGTGGCTTCGCAACAGTCCCAACTGTGCCTCCAGCTGTTTACTTTGCCTGGCAATAAACAGAGCCTCAATCATGTTGAGCTATCTGAAATTCGGGCAGCAAGAGAAACGGTTGGCAAAATGTGGTCGATGCAACGGCGTGGTTAAAACGTCTTCGTAGAGCAAGGTGCCAAAGCCGCAAACGATTTGAGCAGAACGGATACTGCACAGTCTGTGAGCAAATGCAACTATAGTTAAATAAATAAGCAAATAAGTAAGTAAATAAATAAATAAATAAAAAAACATAAATAAATCTCCGAAAGAGGGATAAGGAAACGGCTGTTGGTTCATGCTCAAACTAAGAAAAGTGGCGGGTGAGAATGCGTCCAATATACTGCTAAGCCAAGAAAATCCGAACCACTGTGGCATGAGGCATGGGTGAAGAACAATTTTATCAGATTGTCGGGAAACTGCCAGAAACAACGCGGATACCAGTATGATCAACGGTTATCAATAAATAGCGTAAGCGATGGAGACCGATGACCGTCGCCAATTAAACTTTATCCGATGATTGAGATAGATTCTCAGTGATTTGACGCACGCTTGAGCAAAATGTACTGATAAGCTGAAGTAAACGTGATAACACGCCCGACCACCTGTGAAGGAACAAACAAGCGTACAGGTTTTGACACGGATGGCGTCAATCTGAGTAGAGACCAACTTACCTCATGGAGAACATAGGCCGCAGAGTACACATTTTCCTCAATCAGGCGATCAATCCCAACTTGTGCCTTGTCTCTGTCTCCATAGGGTTGGGATGCCAAAATTTCATAGGCTACTTGGTGACGCTGGGTCGAATTGAAATACGAGTCTGGGACATTGCTCCCGAGAAATCTGTGAGACGGTGAGATATGGGAAACGAATTGAAGGAGACGAAATTTGCACAGGTTTGGACGCGTGGGTATTCATAAATGCGTCCTCAACAACACCACTATATTCGACACACAATGCGATTATACCCAAACGCCAGGTAAACCGTTACAGGCATCGTACTTGTAACTTAGATCCGGAACGAACAAACGTACGACTAGGAACTCCATCTTTCCGACTTTTTGGATCTCAGATAAAACACCAAGGCTTATTGACTTTAGACTGTATTCCATCTGACCATGAGCACAGCTCGGCTTGCTGGTGAGTATAGTATCAGCCGAAGTTAGGCTTATATTAAAATTCAAGGAGGTACCGTGCAGCCGCGACGAACAAAATACGTCCAAGTAAGCAAATAATCACCGATCCTTGAGCTAATATCTGAATGTACTGCCACATCGGTAATATGAAAACAGTCGAGTTGTTCCGCTTGAGCATCCTTTAAATGGTCAGGTGTCGCGTAATCTGCAAGTGGAATTCGAGCCGAGTCACCCAATCATGGACACAAGCAATCAAAAATTCACGGGTAATGTTACACTCGAGGTCTTCCACAGGTCAGGAGTTTATGCTCTACCTCGAAGTTGGAGCTCACCAGTAGGACGGCCAAACATTATCTCAGTACAAATCAAAGTGGATGTAGGAATCCAAGTCGTGAAGCTACGCCAGTCTTATCAAACGTTTGTGCTACAACTAGGAGAGGGTACACCTACCTGAGCGCACAAAATGTCAACGAGACTGACACCTATTAAGGACAACATTGCCAACCAGTTGTTCATCACTGTTGTCGTTTGGCCACGTGACCTATAATATTTGTTGTTGGTTTTTGCATAGTTAATGAACAGAGCGATGCCGCTAATGAAATAATCTAAAAAAATAATTACAATCGGAATGTATCAACAGTGGAGAACCATGATAATGTTGGGGCGAAGTAAATGCACGTGATAGGTGTTGCCGACCTTTTGGTCTTGCAGTCAATTTCTGCCTACTGCTGAATTAGCGTTCCCATGTAACAAGTATGCAGTTGTCCTGATGTTACCCACCAAAGACAGTCTCATTGTCATGCTTTCTTGGGCTTGAAGACGCCTAATGACATCATGACCAATGAATTAGTCTTCCGTTGTCTCAGGACTAGGGTAGTTAAAGGAACTTCCATAAGCACCCTAGTCTCTTGAACCGAACAAAACAGGGGACTATTGCGTCTAGAAGTTTTCACCGGAATTAAGGTACTTGGGAATTTGTTCAGTGTCCTTGCAGTCAACCTATACAGAATGCAGATAAACTCTATTCAGCCGTTGCATCTTCAACCAGCAGCGCGAAGCTCTAGGCGAGTCATGTCGGCTAAATCATACGGTCCTGTGTCAGCAAACCATAGGACGCTTGGGAGAAATAATTCACATAGAGAGTGAATCTTCTATCCACTCGACCGGACAGTCAACACGTGACCACGGAATGGGAATTCCGTGATTGAAGGATGGACGGTGTTTTATATTGCCCAATTACTAGAGTTAACCACTTTATCGACAAGTCAGTCGGTTTTTCCGCATAGACTGACAAAGTCTCGATTGTGGAATTCAGCTTTTATGCATACCTGAGATGTAGAACTGAGGCAAACTCTGGTGTTCGTCCACTTCTGGACAATACTGTTTACTCTTGGTTTGACGGCCAAGTCAGTTAGGTACTAAAAACCGAGAGTAACGGTGCAGGAAATACACATTGACTACCGGGAACGAGGGTTTGAGTTTCACTGAGAAATAAGGAGAGAAAACAGTTCATAGTAGCCAAAAGTCTTTAACAATTTAGTTATCTATAGTTATCATTATCAGTTAAGTCATCTTATGCCTGTTTTCCTGAGTGGCGTAAGCCTTTTTGGCGAAATTTACTAGGGGCGTATGAAAAATTCAGTGCTCATATTTTTGGTACCCTTCGATGTTCGACTGTTCTCCTCAGTATCCTTTTTAGTGCCAGTCGATCCAGCCTACGAATCCTGTTATTCTGGTCGTCACGAGCTGCCTGTATGTCAGCAGATGAGACCTACCGCTTTTGGTCATGCCGACTAGTTGGTTTCCTTAATCGGATGTATTTCAGCATCAATTAAAGTACCAACTCGACTATGCTTCTTGGGCAAGCAGGAACTTGTGCGATTGTAAAAAAATCTGATGACCCCCACAAAGGCTATTTATATGGGCTTATGAAAACCGGTGATTTCGCTACAGTGAGAGTGATAATTGATATCGTGTGACGTCTGTTTGCTGTGGCCGTGTCGTGTGGTCGAGTTCACTGCGACGATCGCTACTTATAGTCATGCGCGAGTAACACCGAATATGTCGGTTTGCTGGATTGTGCCCAGGCATCAACGTTTCTCTATGCTACATGTGTGGCTCTCTGGATTCTGCGGCTGACATAGGATGTGCATTAAGTCTAGGAACTGTGGTTCGATTGTCAGATGTTTTTAGCGGGGTTGACACAGTAGAGTACAGGCTACAATCGAGTTTTTCTTGTGGAAGTCTGGAGACGGACGTACCGTTATGACGAAAGCTCGATATAAAGAAGATATACTGTACTACTGGATTAGCGGAGGTTTAGGCTGTTGCGGTCTATTTACGCTATCGATCCCTTCCCGTTATCATACCGGACGCTCTACACTTTGATTCTAGAATATGTTGGT